GATCTATACACAAACTCTCGCTCTCCCTCCAGGAGACTTTGATTACAACTACAGACTACGACCGACACTTATTGGTGTCACCCGTTGTTACTCACTTAATCCACATGAATTTGATTAACCTTGCTTAATGACCAGATTTTAGTTTACTTGAAGAGAAGGTAAGCCTAACAGACGAGGAGAAGAGGACTACTAGACCCTACTAATTACGTATGTTATTTAAGGCTGTCGAGTATACGAAAGGCGCGTTGGCCCACTTCGCATAAAATTTATTTGGACCTTACTAGCAATGCTAATGGGCTACTGAGACCCAATAGCATGTAAAAGCCATTGAGGGTCCCTTAAGCATGTAATTGGGTCACAAGAGGCCCAATAACATGTATTATTTATGTTGGACCCAAAAGTCATGTTAATGTGTCACGAAGGCCCAATAAGCATGATTAGAATCTCTCAAGCCCAACAATTAGAATGTTTACTTGTTTTGTATAGTATTAGTGTTGCGAAGTTGTTTAATCGATATGTTTTCAAAATCACCAATTTGTTTTATAACGATTCATAGATTTATAAAAATAGTTATTTTTCTATTTAAAACCCATAAGTTATAAAGTTTCGTATATTTTGACCCAATTATTTTACTATTAACATAATTGACCAAAAATATTAGTTTGACCTATTCAGCCCCTTATTTTGGTAAAGTTGGCAATTTTTAGCCCTTTTTCTGAAAAATGACATATTAGGTCCTTGAACTCTTTTTCTTGACATTTTTGGCCTAAACACTTAATTAAATAATGTTTTAAGCCCAATATTTTATTTTGGACAATTTCAGCCCCTTAGTTAAAATATTTGCATTTAAATCCACACTTTTCGCAATTTTTACAATTTTTACCCAAAATCCAAAATCTTTGCATTTTTAGTCCCTTTTGATAAATAAGACCATTTTAACCCCTGAAATAGGTTTATTTACGTTTATAGCCTCTGTTTTGAGAAAACTTTCCATTTCAGCCCCTTGAAGTTGATTTTTCTCATTTTTGGGCCTAAATAGCCGAAAAGCCCAAATTTTAGCCCATTAGGCTAAAATTTACATTTTTAGTCCTTTAAAAAGCCTAATATTTATAAAAACTCTTATTTTGGCTGTTTTGACCTTTTGATCCTTGTAGAAACCGTGAATGACATCTTTTTCCCCATCTTTTGTTTATTTATCAAAAATAGTCCAATAACAAATTTTTATGTTGTAGTGTGTTATTTTAAAGCTTGTATAGTAGTTTATCTTGACATGTTAAGTGAAATATGACCTATATCACATATTTTTTCTTCTTGAACTATAGATCTCGAAATATCTTTCATTTTTAGCACATATTTACCACAAAAACACAAGAAATCACACATAACATACAAATACACATAGATCTTCACATTTTACTTGTATTCTCCCCCATAAATCATATGAAAACCGAAAATAGAGGGGTATGAACTCACCTTTGCTTGTTGTTGTCGGTTTTGAAGAAAGAAATGGAAGAGTTTTGGTCCTAGTAAGCCTTCTTGGGTGGATCTCGAACTTAGTATGTTTCTAGGAGTATGATCATGAATTTAAGGTGGTAAGAAGAGTGAATGAGTGTAGAAAGGAAATATGTTTGCAAGATCTTACCACTAGAGTGTAGCTTGAAGTGATTTTTGGATGGAATCTCCTTGAAATGCTTCTAATTCTCGAAAAGTCTTGATGAGAGGGAAGGGATGTTCTTGAATGTTTTACTTAGAGAGAGTATGAAATGTTTTGTGTGTGTGTGTTGATTCTCGGCCGTAAGTATTAAGAAGAAGGAGAAGAGAGAGATGAATGCATGGGAACATGAGATTTGTCTTGGATGTATGTTGGATAATCCCATAATTAACCCCTAAACAACAATGAGGTGTCATGGGCATTTATTCATTTCTTTGCTCTTTTTTTTATTTCCTACTTGGACCGAGAGAGAGAGAAGGAAGAGAATGGCTTGGCCCTTTTATGCTTGAGTCCATAATATGAGGCCCAATTTGATGGTTTTCGGCCCAATGGGCCTTTAGAGTAGATCACGGCCCAATTTTTTGTATAAGAGAGTGGTTTTGAGTCCATTTAAGCTAATTGGATTAGTTATGGCCCAATAAGGCCCATTAAAGCTAAACTAGTCCATTTTAGGCTTATAAGGCCCAAAAAGGTTAAGTCTCATGAGAGTGGGTCCAATGAGAGTCCATTTAAGAGTTCTAAGCCCAAAATAGTCACATTGGAAGTTTATTGGCCCATTAGGCCCAATAAGGAAATCCTAGTCCATAATGGACTTAAACCGGGATTTCTAGGGTTTCCAACCTTTTGTAGACTATTTGAGCATTTGTATGGAGTGTTTGATGGAATTTTGTTGTCATTGAATAAGCATCATACATGCTTTCAAGTTTTAGTTACAATGTTATCCTTGTTAATTGTTTACAAAGCATCAGAATTCCTAGTTGTGACGGAGAGTAGGGGTTTGTGTATAGATCTATATGGGGATGACACCCCACACCTGAGCTATTCACTACAGTTAGACTACACCAGTCTAGGGTGACGAAAACTTTATTCTATTTTCCATCGGCGTCCATAAACGCCAAGACAGGCAAAATTGTCATTATCTAGTATGGTTATAACGACTCACTTAGAGGAATTAACATTATGAAATTTACGGGAGACCATTCTCTTTTCTCTTTGGATTACTCGGGAACATACTCGCACAGGTACTCAACCTCGGGGGTTGATATACCAGCATTCTCTTTTACAGGAAACATAGGGTTGTCTGGGGGCTTTCTCTTTACATTCTCTTCATTCACTTATGGCATTCTATTAAACAATAACACACATGCATTAATACAAGATCGGACACAAATATACTAAACTATTTTAAGAAAATACAAGATTTTCTTGTGATTACAAAGTTATACAAATCATTTCTCAAACATGCTTATGAACTCACCAACATTTTTATGCTGACCTTTTTAAATAAACTTGTATTCTCAGGAAACCATTGAAGCAGGTTGGGCTGAACAAACTAATGGATGTTTTGTTATATTTTGTTTCATCATACTTTAATTATTTTGGCATGTAATATTCTAACACAGTACTCGATGTAAACAATGTATGTTGTTATATTACATGTGTGATGATGATGATGTTATGATTCACTTATATATTATGTGATGATACTACAAGGATGAAGTCACGCACAAGCCCCCAGACGTTTCCGCCGTCTAATTCGGGGGTGTGACAGTATATATATATATATATATATATATATATATATATATATATCACAATCACATATATTATACAATATCTTGAATAATGTCATTTAAAATTTTAGAATTTTGAATAATTTGTTTTGAAAATTTAAAGGTTTGAAGACACATGCACACATTTTTTTCATCATGTTATTCAATCTGCTAATATTTTTTAATACTCATTTTTAATATGAGCGAATTACATATTGATGTTATCGATAACTTCTTATAAGTTTACAATAGATATATTTTTATAAATTTTAAAAATTCAACAAATTTAACGAACCGCGTATCTGGTATTGAACCGCTATCCGTCAGTTCCGATTCTGGCTCCAAAATTTTAGGAACCATCAGTTCCAGTTCTAAATAATTAGGACGGGTACCCGTCTATGCTCATCCCTAGCTCGAAAACCCTAAAAAATCGTTCAACCCATGGGCCTAGGTGCGTCGTGCCCAATGCGATAATTTCCTGACTTTTAGTTTTTAGCGAATATCCAAAAAGTGGAACGAGGAAATCAAACATATCGATAATAGGATGTTATAGAAAAATGACATAATTTCCCATAAACTTAATAAACTTTCTTTAAATAGAAATTAAATATATTCTTATTATTTGTTCTAACTTATCTTCTACTTATAGAAAATAATAACATATGAAATTCATTAATATTTTATCTTGATATCATGTCTTAATTATATATTTATCTTCATCACATAAGTAAGAAAATAGACCCGAACAAAATATAGAAGTATATTTGATTTCTATTCTTTAAATATTGAAATTTATTTACGTTTAGAAGCTTCAATTTTAAATTACTACAAAAAGACTAATATAGAACAAATTAAATGTAAAAACTTTTTAGTAACATTTATAAATCAATATTAAAGATATATTAATATTAAAAAAAATCATTTTAAAGGCCTTAATAAATTTTCTATAACAATATAGTTCTTTTCTTAAATTACATGTACATTGTAGTAAATAATTACTATTATATGAATTAATGAAACTATATTAATAAAGTATAAATAAAACTTCATTAATCAAATGGTTAATATAAAATATTTCTTTTTGAAAACGGCAAATATATTATTAAAAAACCACAAGATTAGCAAATGACTAAATCACGCACACAGTAAAAAAAATAATAAAAAAAATAAATAGAACTAGCGAAAAGGAGACATACTCCAGTCAATCATACTACACCCCACCACCCCACCTTTGAGATTTTATGCTTAAACCACAAATATGTATGAGTGATAACCTCATCCGTGATCTTGGTATTTAAATATTGCCACCCAAACTTAAGACATTAATTTAACTTTTTTATATATATATATATATATATATATATATATATATATAATATATATATATATATATATATAGAGAGAGAGAGAGAGAGAGAGAGAGGATCATTTGAGAACTCAAAGTTTTCTGAGAACCCGAGAACCGATCGTGAGCCGTTAGATCAAAATAATAAAAGGCTAGGATGCTTTGTGGTGTTTTTGTAAATACTTTAAGAAAAAGAACACGGGGGCATCATAATTATTATGAATCATGGGCATTTTAGTAAACAAATAATTCAGACCCCTATCATCAAATTGAATCACGTCAACCCCCACCTACCTCTCTCTCTCTCTCTCTCTCTCTCTCATCTCGACTCCTATCGTCGTATCGCCTCCACCTCCTCGTCGGAGATGACGTCTTCATCCGTCAAAACCCAATGTTCTGCAACTTGCAATCTCTAGAAATAATGTCAGTCATGCCCAACAGCGCAACTTTTATGGCGCAAGCTATGAATGTTGATAATCCTCACCGTGAAACATTCCATAAGTTCTTCGAGTGTTGGATCTGCAATCAGAATTCCTATCTTGAAGAACTTGTCTCCGTCTCTAACAACCACAACCCAACCGAAAATGACGACGTCGTACTGATTCCATTGATCGAGAGAGTTGTCAGGCATTACGAGCAGTACTACCATGTGAAATCAAATTGGGAGAAACGAGATGCGATTTCGATGTTTTCGCCTACGTGGCGAAGCTAGCTGGCGGATGCGTTTCTGTGGATCGGAGGATGGCGGCCGACGTTAGCAATCAATCTTTTGTACTCGAAATCAGGAATTCAATTAGAGGATAAAATCGGTGATCTAAGTTGTGGATTGAAGACTGGAGATCTAGGAGATTTGTCACCAAACCAGATGAATCAAATCGACGGCGAAGTTGATACTGAGAAGTAACTTTCATTCTTGATAAGGTTTGATTTTAGCTGCACTTTTGGGTTTATCTGTCTTCTTTTCCATGGTCGAGACTTCGATCACCACTCTTTCACCTTGGAAGGTTTCTATCTCGTGTTTGATTACCTACATTGATATACTGTTGCCTCAATATAGTATTCTGTTCACAGGTGAGAGAGCTAGCTGAAAAAGAAGATGAAAATGGCGTCTTCAAGCTCCTTCGTACTGATATCACACGATTCCTCACCACCATTCTCATTGGCACAACGTAAACCTTACAATTTCTTTTCGTTTCCAATTAAATCTTGTTATTAACAATCATAATCTTGTTTCCAGTGTAGTCAACATCGGAGCTACTGCCCTTTTCACGAAGCAGCAACAACAGTGTTTGGTGAAGCTGGTGTTAGTGCTGCAACTGGTGTCATGACTGTATGTATCCAAAATCTAATTTTCAAATCAATACAATAAAATTTCATCTTAAAACCCTAAATGATTTGGTTTTTAATTTAATTTCAGGTTGTTGTATTACTTCTCACTGAAATCACTCCCAAAAGTATAGATGTTTATAATGCTACTACTGTTGCTAGGGCTGTGGTAAGTGAATTTATTTGCATCTTATTAACAAAAAAACTGCATTTTATTATTATTTCAAATTAATTAATGTCTAAAATAATACATAGGTGCGTCCAGTTGCATGGCTCTCAATTGTTCTATATCCAGTTGGAAGAGTTGTAACTTTTCTTTCGATGGGAATGCTTAAAATTCTTGGGTTAAAAGGGAAAAGGTTAGCCATTTGACATTTCTTTCAAAATGTAAATACTAAACACTTTAACTTTCATTTAATTTTTTTAACAATTTATAATTAAATTTTGCAAAAATGAGCCATTTGTGACAGAAGATGAACTCAAGTTGATGTTGAGGGTTGCTGAGTTGAGTGGGGCCATTGAGGAAGAAGAACAAGTATGCATATCATATTATCATGATTATAAATTTATAATCCATGTCAAGTTTTCATTTTTTTTAATAGCAAAATAATATTTAAATTCAAATTTTTATTTAATACAGGATATGATTGACAATGTGTTGGAGATAAAAGATACTCATGTGAAGGAGGTTATGAGTTATGACTCCTCTTATAGATGTAGTTGCAGTTGATTCTGGAGCAACATTAGTTGACTTTCATCACTTATGGGTGACTCATCAATACTCTAGGTAAAATTTTACAACAGTTTTTTTTTAAAGTAATTTTTTTATTTAAAAATAACTAATAATTGTTGAGTTGGACTCATAGGGTGCCAGTATTTGAGCAACGAATTGATAACATTGTTGGTGTGGCTTATACAATGGATTTGTTGGATCTTGTTCAGAAAGTAAGTTGATTTTGAATTATTTTATTTTATGTGATAGGTCATAATATAGTGGTTTGGGCTAGGCATCTATCTTGTAATTGTCTTGTTTGGGTCTTGGGGTTAGTTTTGGTGTATTGTATCTTTTGTATGGCGGTGTACAGTCAAACATGTGTGTCCGGCTGTACACCTTGTGTGCGGCCGCACACACGTGCGTGGCTGTACACTCATGTGCTGCTAGGTGTGGTATAAATAGCAAGTGTCTGTGTCTGTAATAGGTGACGTATCTGTGTGTTTTCAAGGTGTATTTGACATTTATATGATATAAATGTGTGCATGCTTGATTTGATTCATTCTTCTACTCCTACACTCTGATTTATTGCAATATCTATTGATCACTGATTTGGATCTAAAGAATTAGGGACTTACAATTGGTATCAGAGCCAAATCAGTGTCAATTTGGATTTTTGTGAGTGTACGGTTGAGTTCGATTGAAGGTGTACTGCTGAAGATTAAAGGTGTACGGTTGACAGTTTGAAGGTGTACGACTGAGTGTGCGGTTGAAAGGTGTGCGGTTGAGTGTGTGGTTGGAAGGTGTGCGGTTGAAAGTGTGTGCTGTTGAGAGTGTGTGCGGTTGATAGTGTGTGTGTGCGGTTGTAAGTGTGTACGGCTGAGTGTGCGGCCGCAAACTACTTAGCAACTTAATCCTCTTAATTTTAAGCAATTTTTCTGTTAAGTTTTCGATATGTTCATTTCTGAAAAACCAAAAACTTCAAACAAAAATGGACTCACAAAACTCAGCAATACATCATGAACTGGATTTTATTATGGGAACAACCACTCGCATTCCCCGACTGTTATCTGCAGAAGGGTTCCCAGAATGGAAATACAGAATCGAAAAATACATCAAAATGAAAGATTTCAAGGTTTGGAGAAGCATCCTAAAAGGACCAATCAGAATAACTACGAATCTTCCAGCTGGACAAGTAATTGACAAACCATACGCTGATTACACCGATGAGGATTTCGAAAAGATTGAAGAACAAGAAAGAGCACTGGCTACTTTGACTATGGCTCTATCTCCCGATATTGCGCAAGGCTTCAGAGAATACACTTCAGCCAAAGCACTATGGGAAGCTTTGATAGAGGTTTACAAGGGAAATGAAGATATGAAGGAAAGCCGTCAGGATATGTTAAGGCAAAAGTTCAACATGTTCAATTATGTCATTGGAGAGACACTGGAAGCTCAGTTGCAGTGATTTACTGCACTTACTACTGAGATGAGTACAGCTGGGATTTACTTGACTAGGTCAGAGATAAACAAGAAATTGCTGAACTCACTTCCAAAGTCGTGGGACATGAATGTGGCTGTTATCAAAAAGACAAAAGATCTAAATCGTCTTAGTCTTGCTGAAACAATGGCAATCATCAAAGCATGTGATCTTGATGACAAGCAACGAGAGATGAACCATGTGAATTCTTACTCAACTGCGAATCTTGGAATTTCCTCAAATAATGTTTTTTCATCTTATATCTCTTCATCAAGTCAAGCATTTTCTGTTCAACAGCCTCAGAATCAAACATTTATCACTCCATCAATTACACCACATGTTGCTCCAGCATCTGTTTCTCATCAACAAAGTCTATTTTTCGGTGTTCCTCAAGCTGTTTCCTCCTCAAGTGCACCAGCTATGGCTCCAGTTCCCCATTCCAAAGAAACTGATGAGAACTTAGCTCTTGCTACTGGACTCGTCAATTGCTACAATGCTTTTGTAGCTGGAGAGCTCCCACCTCAACTCTTATTTGCTGACCTGGATCAAATTCATCCAGAGGATGTGGAGGACATGGACATCACTTGGCAAATTGATATGGCTGTGTTCAGGGCTAAGCAATTTTTCTAAGAAAACATGAAAGAAATAACTGGGGAATGAATGCGGATAAGAAAGTAGGGTTTAACAAGGGAAAGTTGCGCTGCTGTAACTGCCACGAGCCGGGTCATTTTGCTCGTGAGTGTCCCAAACCAGATAGAAGAGTAAATAGTGATCGAACAATGGTTCCAGTGGGAAATGGTCGTGGAAATGCTGCCGTCAACAGTGAGACTGCTAACTTAGCAGTGGTTGCTCAGTCCTTTGACTGGGAGGACCAGATTCAGGCACTGAATATTTCAGGACCTGAAAATGCCCACTTGGCTCAAATCAATGATACTCCTGTGGAAGAAGCTGAAGTTGATCCTGAAGAAGAAACGATGGAGTTGCAGTTTGCTTTCATGGTATCCTCCACTTCAAAACCTGAAAAGAATGAGGTAAGTCAGTCCTGTTGTTCTCAAACTTGCATTGATAAAGTTAACAATCTTCTTGAGCATATAGAATTATTACGGAGAGAGAACGAGGACTTGAGATATGAAGGGTATCAACTTAGAAAAGGACAGAAACCCCTGAAGGCTCAATTAGAAACAAAAACCAAGGACTTTAGAAAACTTCAGGAGGAGTATAGTATTAAGAGTACACATTATAGATATCTAACCGAACAACTCGCTGAGGTAACTGCTGAGCTTGACACATTGAAAAACAAATTTGAAAACACAGATTTCACTTTTAGAAAATTTGATGTGTCAAGTGAAGTAGTTGCATCAATGATAGAAACTAATCTGAAATTCAAACAGAATCAGTCCAAGGGCTTAGGATATGACAAAGTGCCTCCCCCTTTTAATCATACCTATACTAATGTCCCTTTGTCAAAAGAGGAAATGGATAGAGAGCCATTTCTTAAATATGGATTTGTGTCGGGAGGTAGTATTAATGTCGAAAATACTAACGTTTCTACTTCCCATGCAGATCAATTTTTAAGTCACTCAAAGCACGAAGCTACAGGATCTGTTTATGAAAATAAACATGTTTCTGAACCTGATGTTTCTATTTCAAAAAATGACTCTTTTGTTTCTGATGTTAATGTACATGATACATCTTGTGATACTTCTGCATCGAATCATGTTGATTTAAATTTCTTTGACATATTTGATGATTTGTTTGATAATTCTGATGTTCCTGAATTTGATGTTCCTGTTTCAAGCACATCCACTTCACCAATCACACAACCGGATACACCTCCACCTATCACTCAATTTGATTCGTGCACATGTTCTTGTGGTAAAAATAAGAGTGTCAATAAAGAGAGAAAATCGGACAAAGGCAGTACCAGTTACAATAATAATAAGCAGATTTGTTTTAACTGTGGTACTGCCGGTCACATCGCTAGAAATTGTCCTAATAGGGCATTTGTGCATTTTTTGTCTCAAAGAGGAGAGAACGAGTCTCGAGGAAGGTCTTTAACTAGAAAGCCTTCAAGATCTCGTCCTCGAGATGATGATTGGAGGGCTAATAAAAACAAGAAAATGGCAGTTTTTCAAAAGAACAAACAGGTTTTCAATAACAAAGTCACAAACAGTTTGCCAAAATCGAACTCGGCTAAGCCAATGTCGGTTTCGTCAAAGAGTGAATCTGGATCTTCAACCACTTCTGGTAGAAAATCCAAATGATCAAAGCAAACTGAAAAGAAAAGTGTTTCAAAATCACTCGTGAATGTTAAGAAACCTAAATGCCAGTGGGTGCCCAAATTATCTTCCAACCAATCATCATCATCCTCTGAAAATGTTTTACATGATGATTCAAAATCAAAAGGATTAAAATATAAATTTGTGATCGTAAAGGGTCCACCCAGGAAAGAAATGACCTGGGTCCCCAAATCTAAATGATCCCGATCATTTTGCAGGGAAAAGTTGTGGAGGAATGTTGTCAGACCATGGTATGTCGACAATGGCTGCTCCCGGCATATGACAGGAGACATCTCCCAATTGAACGACATTCAGACTTTTAACGGGGGATTCGTTTCCTTTGCGGGCGGTGATGGTGGAAAAATCACTCAGAGAGGAACTGTAACAAACGGAGTGCTGAGTTTCGAGAACGTCAACTATGCTCCCGAGTTAAAGCATAGCTTGTTAAGTGTCTCTCAGATTTGTGACAAGGGTTATTCAACGCATTTTACTGATAAAGAGTGTCTGATCTTAAAGCCAGGCATTGTCATCCCGGATGAGTGGATTCTTGTCAAATCGAAGCGGGATGGAAATGCTTACATTATAGACATGAATAGCAACATACCTGAGCAAGTCACGTGCCTCTTTTCAAAAGTCTCAGAACAAAATGCTATGTTGTGGCATCGACGACTCGGCCATGCTAACGCTAAGAATCTGAATCGTCTTGCTAAAAACGAAATGGTGCGTGGCCTGCCTGTCAGAGACTTATTACATTTGAAAAGTGTGTGTCATGTGCTTAAGGAAAGCATCACAGGAAACCACACCTGCCAAAGCAAATCAACTCAATCAGCCAGGTGCTCCAATTGTTGCACATGGATTTATTTGGTCCGGTCAATGTCCTAAGCATCAATAGAAACTCATACTGTCTAGTTGTGATTGATGACTTCTCGCGTTTTACATGGGTTTTCTTCTTGAACAAATTAAGTTGGGGTATCTGATCTGATCAAGAAATTCATCGTAATGATTGAGAACCAAACAAACAACCGGGTGAAGGCGCTTAGAACTGATAATGGAATAGAATTCAAGAATGCAGTTCTTGATCATTTTTGCGCAGAAAAGGGCATTGTGCGTCAATACAGTTCTGTTCGCACACCTCAACAAAACGGTGTAGCTGAACGGAGAAATTGAACGCTGCAAGACGTTGCAAGGACGATGCTGTGTGACTCAAAGTTACTAGTTTTCTTTTGGGCTGAGGCGATCAACACTGCTTGCTATGTTCA